CGCCCTCAGTGCCCCCGGCTCCCTTGGGAGGGATGGCGAGGAGCAGAAAATAAATACAGCGCCAGCCATTCGTCCCAGATGAACAAATGTGCCTTTGGTGCTCTCAGTAATTAAATGTAAGGATTTTTCTGTTCAGGGATTTTTCCCCCCTGCAAGTGTGTAAGACTGCATTTTGTTGCCAATGGCTTCATGATCCTTGCACAGTTGCTTATATAGGAAAATACCGTGACTCCGAGGAAGTTCAGAACTTGCATAATAACTATGAAATTGAAATTATACAACTTAAATGACACAGTTCTCTTTATTAATCTCGAAACACAGATATTAAAAAACCTGTTAGTTGACTTTGCCAATTCAAGGTTTTGGAAGAGAATAGGAAGTGTTCTGTCCCTCCCTGCCCCTGCAGGTAGCTCATAGGCTTGGTGGGGAAGCCTGAGCCTCTGGGATTGACTGGAATAGAATTCAGTTTATCATTCTGAAACGTGGTTTTTTTTTTTTTTTCATTCACATCATATTAAAACACTTTGGAAAAAAGTAGTTGAATAGGGTCAGTACCTTCCTGTTGCAAATGCAGAGATGAGTACCTCCAAAGTCAATTCACCTTGCAGACTTATGTCACATCAGGAAATTAAATTACTTAAGTATGAAGAAAAAGATCTAGCACATTTGTACAGTCTAGTCACTTCCATTCTGTCAAACATCCCTGTCCCTGAAACAAGGAAGTTACATCCAAATTTTCTTTCCCTGGTCCATACTAATGCCTAAACTGCACTCAGGAATTTTTGGGGGGAGACTACAAGCTGTACCAGGCTGTCACCATGCTAGTGACAGAGCAAGGTCTGATGCTTGTGTCAGTGTGTGTTCAGTTTGATAACTTACACACAGCCACAGCAGCAGAAGAACACAGTCAGCACAGGGCAGGACCCACATGCTTTGACAAACGTGATGCCTTGGTCATGTGTGTTTTCTGTAATCCCACTGGTTTATCTCTGTGTCTCCATTGAAATTTCAAGCTGCGCTCAGCAGGCAGGTAATAGCCAGAGTCCCACACGTACATAATTCATCCACTGCTTTGCATGGGGCCATGATGTTCCCAAATAAACTGTCATCAACTGTGGCTCATAGGCCCTCTCAGACATTCCAACTCCTCCAAAGTGTGCATGATGAGAGCTTCCCTTCCTGCCCGCAGGCACCACAGACTGAAAACAAGACCTGCAATGCCGCCATTTGTATCTTTTATTATCACCATTAGCATAGCTTGGAAAATGATACAAGCTTTTCAGTTCATAAACCCTTCTCTGGAGAAGCAGAGAAGCAGCAGAATGCACTAACAGCAGAAGCAGCAAATGCATTAACTTGACTGCTTTCATTTCAAAATTAAAGAAAGGACTTTGTATCTAGAAATCTGTGGAAGTGCAAATACCTGTGTAAACACAAACACACCCTGCTCCTCAGTCTTCTGAGTAATTTAAAATCCAGAACAATATTTTACTGTTCTGCTGGAGCATGATTATAAAGAGCATAGCCTGAAATAAATTCTACATTCTCTCCACATAACTATACCCAAAAGGTACTACTATTCTAAATGATCTTCAGCCTGATTTCCTTTCCCAGCATGTCTTTGTGATAGCTTGACTGTGAAACTACCGCAGGTCTTTATGAATGGAAACAATTAAAAAATTACTCTGTAAGAGCAGAATTCAATTTGCCTTGAATTCAGGAGGCAAAGACTCTCAGCATATTTTGGTACTGGTGTGTTAATAGCATTCTCAGTGACTTTTGAGATTCACCATGCACACCCCCCTTTTATGTGTTATTTATATGTTTATTTATTTATGAGAAAATAATCTGTAAAATTCAATATTTTTCTTCCTTCTTTTGTACAACAGCATGGTTAGGAAACCATAGCTGAAATATATGCCAAATCCCTCTCAATACAGGTGGCAGGGACTTTTCTAGATGCAGCAGGGGGTTTGTAACCCACCTGTTACTAACCCAGCCTAAGAGGCTCAGCCATGAACAGCTCAGAAAAATTTCACTGTTATTCCTTTTAGTGTAATTTGGGATATAACAATGGCCTCTGCCTTTGAAGTATATTTATTCTGGTGGCATAACCTCACAAAACAGAAACATGAAGTATTTTGGAAGAGTGCTCAGTTTGTTTAGGAACATGCTTGGTTGGTCACTAGAGGGCAGGAAAGGAAAGGAGATAAAAAGGAAGGAAAAAGAAAAAATGACGGGGAAAAAAGAAAAAAGAAAAAGAAAAAGAGAAATATATAGAAAAAGAAAGGAAAAGAGGGATTGTTGGGCATGGAAAGACGAGAGCAGCCTTGCAGCCTTAAGAAGAAATTATTTTCCTTTCTGCTTAGGAGATTAAGGTTTACTTATGGGGAGAGACACTGTTCATGCCAATCTACAAGGCAGTCCATCAGGTTTAGGATTTTCGGCTGTCAGCCCTTCATGTTATGAGGATTTTCCAGTTTTTTCTAATTGGTCCCCGCAGTTCTTTGCCATGCTCTTGGAAGCAAAGTAAAATGCTGGAATAAATAGAACATTTCAAGAGTTCAGAAATTTAGCTTACTCCAAAAGCAGAATGATTTAAAATTTATTCCATTTGAATTATTTCCAGATGAGACTTGGGGAAAAAAGCCCAAACCCGGGATAATTAATGTGTACATCAGGAAATAATAAAACATTCCTGTAAAGAAAAGAGTTTATTTTGGAGAGAAACAGAAGTAATCTGTTGTTTATTACTATATTCTTATAAGTATAAATAGAAACTTTCTCAGTGCAAGCTTCTTTTTCTAAATTAAAAGATCAGTTTATGAAATATAGGCTCACTGCAAAATCAAAGCAGTACAGGCTGTACATCAGTGAGTATGTGTTATACTGGATCTTTACAGAAACTTTCTCCTTTCCCCTGCTTATTTCATCCACCATGTACTTTGGCTATGTCTCTTAAACAAGCAGGAACTGGTTCTTTTTTTCTGTCAGTTACCCATGTGTAGTTAGTGGTGTTTTATATGCAACACCTATATTTCACCAGCAGTTGGGGGTAAAGTGTAATAATCATAAAATGTTTTTCTGGAATAACAAAGGGATTAAAAAGAAAAAAAAAAAAAAAAAGACGAGATATGGAGATGGTGAAATGTTAAAAGACTGAGCTTTTCAGAGAGGAGCAAGCACAAAGCCAAGTGGTCCCTCTAGGAGATGGGGAGATACTGTCAGTTGCTAACAAGCTGTAATGAGAGGCCATTTAGTTATCAAAATACTCTGTGTATGCAGCAACCCAGATAATTGTTCAGCAGCTTCGTGACCAGCTGTGGGGACAGCAGTTAGAGAAGATCCTTTTTAGTGCAAGGGAGAAGCTTGTGTTCTATAAGAGTTCATGGAAACTAGATTGCACAGAAAAAAGAAACCTTTGGTCCAGGATGCCCATGATTTGTTTAAAATTGTTGCAGTTTTCTGTCAAAAACTGCTAGACAGAAACATGTCTAGAGGGCTTAAATGAAGCTCTTGTTTGTTTTTCTGTAGGGCCTGGAACATTCTGGGGTGACAGAGAGCTTTTTTAAAAGCGTAGGCTCCTTGCGTGCAAAGCAGAACTTCACAGGGTGCCAGCATGAGAACATGGCAGAGGCCTGGGAAGTTGTGATTTTTTATTGGGAAGAAACCACAAACAGCAGAGGAGCAGTAGGGCCAAAGATCAATATTGACTGGGGATGCCAGCAAAACAGATTCATCTGTACCTCAAATAGGGATAATAATAGGAACATGCTGAAAGCAATTGAAGGCAAACCACAATATCTGTCCAGCCATGAAATTAATTTTTTCTGGAGCCAGTCAAAAGAAAAAAAAATAGTGGGCTAATTAGGTTAAAATCTGTGTAGAACTGACTGAGACAGTAATAGGGAAAGAGCAATTCTCTTGAAAAATCATCCGAAGGAAGAATATTTAGAAGGAGAACCAACAAGTAACAAGAGACTCTCCATGCATTTAAATTGCAATTCAAGGGACACTTTATTAACAAATTTTGGTACTTGTTTTCTGTCCCAATTAAAAGCAAAAAAATAAAAAAGGCTCTGTGGAGGTTCAGACATCTTCACAATCTGCCCCGGGCCTTTAACAGAAGTGCCCAGGTCCTCCAATAAATTAACAAAGCAGGCAGATTTCTCAGTGTTTTACTCTTAATTGCCCTCTGAAGCACTGTTCCTCTTTCCACTGATGGCATAAGAAGCCTATACTTCTCATTTGGATACCTGAATTGGTTGCCTATAGTATGTAAATACCATCCAGAGCAGGCAGTGTGAAGGAAAGCAAAGAAGAAACTAATTGTAATTTTTTTAAGGAAGTAGTAGTGTACCACTCCAAATAGTTGCACACAGATTGTCAAGTTGTTATTTCAGGCCAGATCTTTGAGAGGCAATTTCTCAACAATTCAAATGATGGCTTCTTGGAACAGCTAGTTCCACAGTCCAGGGAAAAAACAGGAGAGGAGAATGAACAAGCTATTCTTGACTTCAGCCTAAGGAAAAGTTACTTAGTTTAAGAAGTTTTTTACAGTTTCACCATGAAGTAATAATTGTCAAATCCAGTGAACTTCAGGATTTATAATGGAAGGCTCCTGCTGAAAAGTAGTCCATGGCAGTGATTTAGAAGAAGAGGAATTGTGATGAAAAGAAGGAATGTCATTACAGTGATATTGAAATCAGACATTAAACCATTACAATCCTAAGACTTACTGTGAACAATACATGCAGATTTTTAACTTAGTGACAGAAAGTAGGAAACGTTCAAATGGTTTGGTGTCACACTCTAATGGTCAGTAATCTTCAGTAAAAGCCTATAAAAATGAATACAATTTTTTATTTTTAAAAGGAAGATTATGAGAAGTGAACACAGTTATGTATATGTCCTACCAAGCATAAGTTATCACAGAGCTAAACCAGCAGTACAGCTAAAAACTTCTCCTTTGGGAGGATTTTTCCCACACCTTAAAATTCATCGTAACCAGTAATGCCTCAGAAAGGGTAGAGTATATTTTGTGAGGGATATTCTTTGAGGAAAAAAGTGCTCCATTAAGAGAATTCTTATGTTCCTGCAAGCAAGGTTTAAAATCTTCATCCAAAGATATTTTTGTCTTTAATTTCATAATACTCAGATATTTACCAGATAAAGATATTTGCCTTCCTACCTGGATGCGGACTAGACAGCCACTCTACAAATAAGGGGCTAATCCTCACTTAAGGAATGTATATTTCATTTATTTGTTCCCTGAGTCAGTTGAAGACAGAATCCCTTTATCAGATCTCTGAGATCAAAAAAAGCAGCAAAACTGCTGGTTACACCTTAAATTTATTGAAGGCTTGAGTCTAACAAAAGTTAGAAAAAATTGAGTAATCAGAAAGTTCTAAAATAACTATATACTTGAACAGTGTTGAAAGCAAATTAAATTGCAAAAATAAGTTAAAAGCCTTTAGCAAGAGAGAGAAAGTTTTAAGCACTTTATTTAGGCAGTTTATTCTAGGATTATTTCTGTAATCTACTTTTTAAAATCTCTAATTATTATAAGCAACTGAGATTTCTACTATATAGTTTATATGAAGCCTTATAGCAGAAATTTATGTCTTTGTTTATCCATGGAAGATAATTTTTCCATTAAGTTTAGAAAATTACTGATTTCCTTCTTTTATCAAACATGCCTTGATTGTTGAAATGTTGCCTTATAGTGACTCTCAAGATCATGGGTACACAGTGATGTAATCTGACTGCCTCAAAATAGTAAATGGTGCTAAATTTCACCCGGGAATGTGATTATTTAGCACAGCACTGTGTACTTGGCCAATACAGCCAATGCCTAATACCTGATAAATTCCTTTTAAATGGCAATAATTTTAGTGTATAGGGAAATGATATGTAATGAAGATTTTAGCTATCTGGGAAGTATATTTTAAAGTTTTCCTTTTTATATTTTAGAGTTACTGAATACATTTCTTTATAATTAAAAAGTAGGTCATTTTTACTTTGCATGATTACACAAATGCTAACTATTGCTGCTAAGGTGAAGTTACACAATATTTCATTTCAACAGCAAGGTTACTAAATATATCTTAGGTTCTATCTCTCTGGAACTGTTCCAGGAACATAAATGGTCATCCTTCTCCCTTTCCTTTTCAATTCTTTGCCTCATCTGGTCAGGCCCTTTGGTCTTCAAGATGAGAAATACTTAACTGAGTCTCCTACCTCACTTCCCCAGAAAATACCCAATGGAAGCCTATTTTACTTCCAGATCTATCTCATAACTTGAACAACTTCAAGACTGGAAACAGAACAGCTGAATGGAAGGTTAGACTGGTGTGGAGATCTTAAAACCTTAAAGACATTGGAAGTGTTATCTCTGCACACAATATGTGTGCACACAAATCAAGGTCCCACAGGCATCTAACAGTGAAATAGCATTTTTAACATTGGGTTACCAACTGGTTTTCTTCAGAAAGAATTTTGCTGATGATCCTTTCTCTGCTGTCTGGACAGTTCATGGAGCAGAGCTACTGCTATATTCCTCAATACTGTCCTTGCATGGAAACTATTCAGTGTGGGCCAGAATAGCCCTTGTAATCTAGATGACAGGACCCAGATGTTCTTGTGGCCTTCTTAGCTTGTAAACAGAAGCTCTCTGCAACAGATAAACATTGGATACAAGTTGGCCTAATTTCTATTTGATCTAAGATAAATGGTATTCCTGGAAAAAATATATGGAATGCATGCTAATTACTGGGGATCCTAAATGGTAGGCAAACAAATTATCATTTGAGTCAGTTTGACACAACCAGCAAAGTCTGCTGTGCATTCTGAGGGGTGCAGAGCACTGTAGAACTGATAAGAGCACATGCACAAATGGCTCAGGGGTTTTCTTCTCCACTCAGGATCTTACAATGTAACAGTATTTGATAATGCTGTAATGCTGTTAGGAATATGTTTCCCTTTTTATGGCTACATGGAGAGATTCAAAAGCAGTCTGTGCTGTAGCAAAAATCTGAGAAGCCACAGTGCAGATTTACCACAACTACTGATACATGCCTGTGTTAATTTTATTCAAGACAGAAAAACCACAGTAAGGAAACATCAGGGGGTATTGGGAATCCTCCAATTTAGCCAAAAGAGCTTTTAGCAAAACAAACTTGGAATAAAATAAAATTGTACTTTTCTGAGCAATTCTCACTGGGCATCTACTCAGGTAACAGAGAGAGGGAAGTTCTGAGAAGTTTGATTTACCTTATAGGGAGTGTGAAGCAGAAACTGTTTTTTGCATCTAACAGCACAGTAACACCATCTTCTAGGGGAGAACTGGTCTGCTTTTAGCAGAGGTCTCACAGAGTCCTGTAGGTGTAGCCCACCTTGGCTAAGAGCTGAATTTAGAGAGAGACCACTCTCTAAAGCAACATCCTTGTCCAGCAGCTGCTGACTTGGAAGCTTGGGTTAAGACATGCTGTGAGCTGGCCCTTCCACTGCACAGGGCCACGAAGGCTGCAGGCTGCAAGGGGCTCGAGAGGCAGCGGGGTGGATGGAGGATGGGCAGGGAGCGCAACACTGCTGTGTGGAGCGTGCACCACTTTGCCCTTCTTGCAAAACAGCATTTGTACAGCTACCTTGTCTTTTTTATTGAGGTAATTACCCAGTTGGGATGGTACAAGAGTTCACTGTAGGTGTGATAAGAGTTAATTCAAAAATGAAAAAGGGGTGAAGTAAAAGCAGATGTTCTGCAAAGTGATACTAAACCACCTAAATAGTTCTGTTGGCAGAATGAAGTAGTCATAGCCTTGCTATTATTATTAGTCTGATCAGGAGGGATGAAATTCAAGCTATGTTCCCACACAGGCCAAGCTCAGAGTTGCTCAAGATTGATATCTGTATGTATGGAGAGAAGTCAGCTTGGCACAGCACTGAAGCTCCTCCTTTAGGAAAGCAGCCTAAGGAATCAGATTTAACCTTTAGTTACTGACTTACTTTGGAAATATACTTTTTCTTGACAAGGAAACAAGGAATCCAAGATTGCGTGTTTGTGTTTTGAAATTGCCTGGTTACTGATTCTTTTTAATTTCTAAGTTACACTTTGTCCAAATACTTTGGACAGAAGATTTATTGGCAGTTTGTTTTTTTTTTTTACAGGCACACTGCCAGTGTCCTAGTTTAAACCCCTGCTTCTGCTCTAGCTGTTCCCAGCACAAATGTGAAGGCTTAGGTGACATTATACTTTTTGGACAGGGGTTCCAAATTCAAACTGTGACAAGGCTTAATATAGCCCCTCTGTGGGGTTATAATTGGGAGGAATTGTATAAAGCAGCTGGGCATGTGGTTACTCTGAGTAATGGCAGTCTGATGGTCTTTTTAATTCTGATGCCAAGCACCCTGATAAATCTTAGAGCATGGTGCCATTTGGAAACCCTGCCTTCTGTCCATTGTTTAGGGAAAAAGAAGTTAAATGAAGAGAAACCACCATAAACATAATGTGAATTATGTGTCAAAAAGTTTCAAACCAGAAATTTAAAATCAGTAAAATACCTTGATTTTTAGGCCAAAGTGGTATTTCTGTTATGCTAAAAACTTAATTAGAAACATGGGTAACAAATTAAATTGTAATTCTGCACACAGGATATTTTGTACCCTGTTCTTTTGCAAAACACCACAGCACTTAAAATTACTAAATGGAACTATTTACAGAAATGTTAACCAAGAACCCCAAACAATAAAAAAATTTCCATATTAAAAAGTCTAAGAATTTTTTGACTTTTGGGAGGTGAGGGGGAAATATTTTCACCAGTGACTGACAATTATCTGCTCTTTGTGGCTTCTTAATAGGAAAAATTTTATGCCTTCTCTTGTAGGAAAAAGTATGTTTACAAAAAAAGCCCCAAACAGTAACAGCCTTTCCAGGGACAAGTCCCAGAGAAGATCTTCCATAGTTCCTTGGTACCTTGATTGGTGTTCACTTCACATTCTGTCTTTCAACTCAGGGATCTCTAAATAACTTCTTAACTAGCAAATTTTCTGTCAGCTATTGGAAGGTTTTAAGTTATCAAGTGTTTAAGAAGGAAAAATATGAAAGAGATAAAAGAGAAAGAGATAAAGAAAGAGATAAAAGAGATAAAATATGAAAGAGATGGAATTTGTATTTCTGTTTGAAGCTCAGCTTGGACCAGTTTTGTTGTGCTGTGTACAAAAACAACTTCACATGGGCATGGACCCTCCAGGCTAAATTTGGAAGGAACTCAATGCAGGCCACAGTGACCTGCAGGGATTTATTTGAATGTTCTTTTCCTTTGCTGGGTACCTTTTATTATCTTATGTCAGTACTCCAAGTTTAACTATGTGAAACTAACACTCTCCTATTTTTAAATTGCTTCTGCATAAGGTGCAGAGCCTTTCCTTTAAGATAAATGTGAATAGTTGTGCATTTGTGCTACCAAATTGGCACGTGTTGGCAGCAGACCCACTGACACACTAACCTTGTTTTTGCACCTGTTGTGTTAGCATATGGTTAGACTAATTCACTGGTTCTGTGAGGGATCACTTGGAGCTCACAGGCTGTGCACCTTGGAAACTGCCTCTGCTGCAACTGAGAACAAGACTGCTCTCAGCCATTTTTCAGGACAAAGGAGTTCATCTCAAGCCCTGCTCTGTCTTCAGCAAACACCTGACATGACACCAAATTTCTTAGAAAGATTCATTGAATCAATTCTTGACTGTTTTCTGTCAGCTACAAGTGGGAGGAGGCAAGGATGAATCTGATCCCTTCCCCTTGAGTCCTCTGGGCAAGAATGACACACTGAGTCCCTGTTACATTCCCTCCAGTAACTTGCTTTGCCCCAGTCCAGGGATGAATTTTCCACTGTGGAGAGTTTGTTGTGCAGATATGTGAGCCCAGCCCCAGGACTGGCACACAGATAGACACTCGTGACTAGCACAGCTCCTCTAACTGCAGGGATGAAAAAAAAGAGGTAGGAGGAGAAACTGGGTGTCAGGAAAACGTGCTTCTTCTGAAAAGGTCACGTGTCATTTTAGCTGTCACGTTTTCTTAATTTTGTGCTGCATCAGTTGAGGTGCAAGGTGAAGGAAACAGAGCAAAGGGAGGGCAGTGGCCAGCCCTGAATTGGAGACCTTGTTGTTAGCACTAAAAGATTTTGGTGGTTTTTTTTTTTTTTTAAAGCAACATCCAAGACTGAATTTCTCTCAGAGTAACGATGCTTAGATAAACTCAAATGTGCCTACAAAACACTTACCTGCAGTGAGAATATAGAATTTATGAAAGCTTAAAATTTCCCTTCATGTTTAGACAATGTATCTAAATTATTTTTGCTTGGGTCTTTCTTGGCACATATTTCATTTAAATTATGACATTTGTGATGGAAGAGAAGGACTGACAAGAACTGGCAGCACTCCCTTCTGGGTCCCCTTTGAAGATAATGCATGACCCCATAAAAATAGGGCTCTGTCATAGCATCTACTTAGAGACAGAAGAAAGCCTCTAGATACAGAGCCTCTAGCCCAATTTTTTCCTAGGCTGACATCCATTTTTTTCCATCATGACTTCCTCCTGCTCTCTGAAGCCTACTCCAAGTTAAACCAAATTTAGTAGGCAATTCCAGATATTTCTATTCAAAAGTGTCCCCTGGCAGGAAATCAGTGCCCTGTTTTTCAGATTAAAAAAGAGCAAGCAAGCTAAGCATTTTCTCAGGATGTATGCTTTTATCTCTCTCACCCACTCTAAATCCATGCACATGCTTTTTGCATCAGCCATCCTATCATCAGCCCTCTGAGCCTGGCTACCAACAGCAAATTTAAGGTGGTTGAGTAGTCAGTTATCTGCAGGAGTGAAGTCTCAGTGGGTAATTGAACTCATCTACTCAAAAGACTTAGAAAGGAAGAACAGTGGAATTAGATTTGGAAGGAATTAGATTTGATACTATATGTCAACAGTGGAGCCACGATACATGTTGGTAGTAGTTAAAATATTGTGTGACATAGCAGTACCTCAGAGTTCTATGCTACTTTGGCTACAGGTTGTTGGAGTGTCTGGTTTGTCTGTAAGTCATGTTTCCTTCCTGCTATAAATTCTTGCTCTAATTCAAATCTTTGACTATCTAACTCTTTTGATAAGGCATGGAAACATCATCGTTCCAGTGTTAAACTTACACCAGTATGAATCTGCAGGGAAAGAAGGTGTGCTCAGCTGGTCTGCTGAACCATTCCTTCTCCCACAAACAGACAATATAGACAGATGAAATAAATGTTAGGCAACACTTCATAAAACTGTAAGCTTTTCATGGCATTTCTTTTCAGCATTACAGCAGATTTGAGTTGGTTTTTGCCATTTGATCTGCTTATAGCATACTGAAGTACAGAAACCCACAGATTCAAAGGAACCCCATGTTCTGTTAAATTTCTGCAAACTACTGTGGCTGTGGGAATGATGCACAGTGAAAGTGTAATTGTCCCTGAGCTTGGAACACACCCCACTGAATGTGTTTCTAAGCACCATCTTGCCCCATCAAGAACAGCCTGGCAGGAGTTTCAGGTGGGGGTTCCCACCCTTGTTATTAGCTGCATTGTAAGGGTTACACACTGTGTGCAGTAACATTGCTCAGGGAAAGATCTTCAGGAGTATAATTACTCTTTCAAATTCATGTGGATAAAGAATAGAAATGATCCTGAGAACAGAGGACCTCAAAGACCCACGAAAGCAAGAGACTGTATCTCTGTTGACTTCGCTGAGAAGGTATCATTAACCAGAGAATCAGGGCAGGGACTTTTTATATTTACATGGTAGATGTTATTCATACTTCACACCAGTCTGATGTGCTTACACTGGAGTAGGTCTCATGCAGTTTCTTTAGGAACAGCTGTTTTTCATCAGCTTTGCATCCAGCTCTCATAGTTTATACAGTTTAAACAAAATAGAGATGAGTGTCTTCTTTTGATAAAAATGGTAGAAAGAACATTTTGCTAGCTTCAGCAAACTGATTTAAAAGTAAAAACCATAAATGTCAGAGTCCAGGAAGCTCCCTGTCTTGAACAGAATGACTTTTTCCTGCAAGAAGGATTAATTTGCCTTTATTTTCGTATGTGGCTATCATATGAAACAGAGCACAAACAAAAGCCTGGAATAAAAAGCTGTAGTGTACTATCAACTATATTATGTGTTTTTAAAGTTCCATATGCTGTTTGAAAACAGAGGACAAAACAAGTATTATACAAGTACTATATCACTTGCAAAACTTATAACAAGGGATGATAGAAGTAGGATATACCAGAAGAGACATTAAATGCAACTGACTCTAAGGCTGATCGAAACCTTTTGATTTAGAACAAGATGAGTGACAGAAAGCATAGCCCATCTCCTTTGCACAGCATCTAGAAAGGTGATTTGACAATAGTCAAGAATACGTTTAGACTTGTGAAGCTTTAGGAGTAGTATGTGAATCAGCATTCTTGGTTTTTGGATGAACAGATAATGAATCATCACTTCTCTTCCTCTATCTGTACTTACACTGTGTTACATAAAAGGGCTGGGTATTCTGTTTTATTTTCTGGTATTATACCTGCAGGGCATGTGTAACCTGATTTTGAAACTAGCAGCCCTGATAATCGGGTGTAATTTCTAAAACAGAGACATTCCAATGACCAACACCCCATCCTGCTTTCAACATTGTTGTGCTATGACTAGCAGAGAAGTTTCTCCTTAAATACCTTCTTTGTGGGGTATTCAAACACAGACTGTATAAATTATGAATATGGCTATTTTTTTGAGAAGCCAAATGTGTAATATATGACAGCAGTAATAAAATCAATGCATAATTTCTGTGCTATCTGTTTATACAGAACTACAGTTTATTTTCTTTCATGCTCACTGTCTTTATTACTGCCCTGAGAAAAAAAGCTACCAAGGGAGCAACTTCTTTTTCTTTTGGGGTAGAGAGAAATGAAAAAAGTTAGTAATTTAAATGGGATGGAAAAAGATTTATTGTGTATATATTTTACTTCCCTCCATTCCCCCACTTGCTCCCAAAGGACAGAAGCACAACTTCCTCTCCCATAATAGCCAGTTGATATGGCCAGGCCCTGGCTTGGTGACAGCCAGCTCCTGTCCTATGAATAGGCTGAAAACTGCTTTGGCTGGACTCCATCTCTCTGAGCCTCTCCTGTTAGAGCTACGCATCTTTGCATGCATAAATATACTGCAGAGAAATATATGGGTGTATAAAAAAGGAGCAAGTACTTCAGGATAGGTTGTCCTAACCTAGGAGAAGGACATGAATGCCATGCCACCAATGCCATGTGTTATTTTGTCTCCCATCTCATTCTCCACGAAGGGATCCTTGATAGAAATCTTTGCCAAAGGCAAAGAGAAAGGTTGTCTTTGTTGAGCTTTGTTTTTTAAATGTTATGTTTCCAAGAAGCACTCTGGATATTTATTTGGATATTTATTTCTTTAAACATCAGAACTTCATTAAAAAGAAAAATTTCTAACTACCTCTGGGTTAAGACAAGCTTTTTGTTTTCACCTAGTCTGGGAATAAAACCAGAATTCCTTTTCCCCCAAGGCACTCAGTGATTTCTCTTCAGATGAAAGCCCTCAATCCTCATACTCTTAAAGTGCACATTGTGGCTAGGAAGTGCATGTCAGTGCCACCAAGGGGAGATCCATGCCTTTGCAGCAGAGTGAAGGGTGGATGAAGTTAGGGCATGAGCTGTGTTTTGCTCAATGAACCAAGTCCATCCCAGTGCCAATGTGGATAAAAGAGCTAGCCAGGAAGGATGTGGGGGGTTAGGTTTGTATTTGAGCATTAGGCTTGCACTAAGAGCAGTGGAAGGTCACCAGCATGGTTAGTGGCCTGGAATGTGCTGCAGAAGGTGAGACTGAGGGAGCTGACTTTGCTTAACTTGCAAAAGAAGAGCTAAGTTAGAGTGGGTCAGACTGCAGCCTCCCAGTACTGAGAGGAAATCAAGAGAAGATGGAGCCAGACTTTCCCTTGAGAAGCACAGCAAAAGGAAAAGAGGGAGCAGTCACATGTTGCAGAAAAGAAATTCCAGACAGATAAACAGAAAAAAATAATTGAGTTGTTAGCACTGGCACAGGTTGTCTAGAGAGGCTGCATCCTTGAAGTCGTTAAAAGCTCAGCTGGAGGAGCAATCTGAGCAGCCAGATCTAACTTTGAAGCTATTCCTGCTTTGAGGAGGAGACTGGATTATGTGACCTCAAAAGGCCTCTTGCAACCTCCACTATTCTTGTGATTGCAATTCTCCAGAGAAGCATGCAAGATTATTCTCACTGATTAAAGCCATTTTAAATCTTGCAAAACTTACTGTAAGCATTATTGCATATATGGAGCAGCACATTTTGACAGTAAACCATCTGTGTTCTGGGAAGCAGCATCTAAGAATAACCCAAAGAAACCAATTTATTGCAAATATGTTATTTAGGCCACAATATTTCTATGCTCAGGACCATAACTAGTTCCCCTTCCACTGCAGGATGAAAGAGGACTGATGATGTTACAGCACTTGGATTGAAGAGCTTCATTCTTTCCAGCAAATCTAAAAATGAAGTGAATGTCTGCATGAAATTTGACCCCTATGAAACTGGGGAAATATAGATTCATATACATATGTATGCTGTGCCCTAAGAGGCATAACTAGGTCAGATCCTGGGAAACTCAAATTTTCAGTCTGAAGTGGTTAGAAATTAAACTAAATCTAGAAGAGAAAAGATTCATTCATTCATCTCTTAGTATGCCATAGGGGAGTTTTTTCCCTGCGCAGAAAATCCAAGAAAAACTTGGCACAGAATTTCACTGTACTGATTTCCAAGCCCCATTCTTCCCTTGTGATACACATGACAAGAAGGACCTTGTAAGAAAACTGTAAGAAAACCTAAAATAGAGAAATGGATCATGTCTCTTGGGTGGCAGAATGAGAGAAGGAGTGTTACTCAGACCCTTCAAGGGCTTCTAAACACTCTGTGCGAACATCTTGTAGCTCTCAGTTGGGCTGCTGTCAGATATAGGAAGGCTTATTTAGGATAAAGGTTTTAGTCAACATAAATTTTATGGGAATGGTAATCATATTGAATAATGACATAGCTCCTGCAAGTCTGCAGAGAATTGTACACATGTGCATAAAAAAATCACATTTTTCCTTGAGAGATTGCAAAGAACAAGAACACTGCCCACATAGCTGATGGAAGCGTCTGCTGAACCAACATTTGCTTCTTCACACAACATTAAGCATAAACCAAATTGCACAAAGCAGCATTTCACTTACTGTTTTCTTTGGAAAAGACTATTCATCAGCAGAAGTAATTCCTTATCTGGGCCTAGGAGAAAAAAAGAGAGAATAGACACTGATTATCTATACACAGCAACATGATTTATATTTATAAAATGTTTGGCCACAGGTTATCAAGGTTCAACCATCTTAGGTGTGTGGTTAAAAAAAAAACCATAAAAAATGGAGAAAAAGAATGTTGTGGTATTGAAATCCTGCATTTATTTTAGACATCTAGGACAGCTTGTGCATTCTCAAAAGTGAATCTGGTCTGCACTTATAAGCCAGATTTCTACTCATGTATAAAATATACGTACATGTTTTGTTTTCTGCACTCTTGTAAGACGCTTCATGAAAAGTTCAGGTTATTCCACGAATGAATACCTACATTTATGCTCTTCCTTCTTTTGGTTTTCTTTCCTTTTTCACTCTACATCACAACAATTAATAAATAATGTGGCATTGGCTTTATTTCATCTTATGACATACTAGCAAAAACTTCTAAAAGACTGCATTTTGCATAAAATCAGCTTAAGGAATTTTGCTGAAAATATCCTGAATTTGATATAATCACATGACATTAAACATTTGAGCAGCCTGAGACATGTTTTCTTGTTTTCATATGTCACTTTTTTTCAGAAAGCAATGGACTTCTCTGCCACTATACATTTTCAAAGTGATGACTCATCTACAATTGATTAATTTATCATTAATCAGCTTTAACAAGATTAGACATTTAAAATAAATTTCTAGTTTTTAATTCAGTCCAAAGTTTTCAGTTACAAGGAATTTAAATGTCTTTAAATTTAACCTTAGAGATTTCCAGGAGTGCCAAGAACTTGCACTATTGACTGAAATAGAATGAGACCTAGAACCCCTATGAATGCCCAAAGAATTAGACCCATGTCCTGTTGCTGTAAGAAAACAAAAACCCCATCCATCTTTGCATGTGCATTTGGCTGCACGTTGCTTACCCTGCTCTCTAGGGAATGGTTGTGGCAGTATTGCAGTGAGGCAGTGCAATTTTTTTTCCCAGATTTTCTCTGATTTGCCTATTAGCAAGTGATTACAAGGTAATTACTTACACTTTCTTACTTAAAGTACAATTTACAGGTATTTCAGTGAGTGCTTCCCAACAGCTGTAGCATGTTGGATCTGGTTGACACCATGCCCTCCCACCAATCATGAGAAATGGGCTAATAAAAATTCTAAAAATATCAAAAATTTGTTTCTTCCTTGTATGGACTGTACCAGTGCTGAAGAAATTCCTACAACAATAACAGAGTTTCCCAGGACTAGTTTCCTTGGTATATATTTGCAACCATTAGTAATTTTCAAAGTTCACCAAAGGATTCTGAGAAGCAAGTAAAGAATATAGCCTTCTATTAAGATGTAATAAAACTTCTGCCTACTGTATTTCATCAGATAAACCATTAAAAGTAATTTTAAATTTTCAAAGTCTTACAGGCTCAAGTAACTTGCTATGTATCTGAAAAATCACTATTTGCCTCATAGTCATATTCATAGAAAACTGAAACCCAACTTCATAGATAATACACTTTACAAAGATTGGTCTTAGTAGCAGAGAACAAATATTGAACAGAAGAGCTCAAACCAAGGGAAAAAATGCTGCTGTTAACCTTGTGTGACAGAATTGTCCCTGTCTATTACCACAGGTATTCTTTAAAGGCATTAAAGCTCTGTGTCTTTCACAGGTGTTGTGTGATGCTGCAGGAACGTGCCAGCCAATAAGGTGGACATACTCTGTTTTCTAATGACCCCAGTATAGTGCCACTGGCCTAGCAATTTGTTTTAGCGTCAAGCCCAAAACCAAATCAAAAGCTCCCCTGCTCAATTGCATACTGTAACTGCATTAAGCTAGCATTGTTCTCCCTTGCAAACAGCAGGGATTTCTCAAGAGATACTATGCAAGTGAAATGGACGTATGTTTTTCTCTCTGGACTTTTTTACCTATAAATGCCGTCATGACTTTACTTTGCTCTGAGGAAATATTTGCCTATCTTTGCTTCAAAAGGCTTTAATTAAATGCTAATAGCTCCTCTACTCTTTCTATATCCTCCACTGCAATGTATTTCCTTTCTTCCCTCCTGAAGTTGTGGGGGAGGATAGCAAAGAAGCAGAGCGACCTGAAAGTAATAACATCAGAGTAAACACAAAATCCTTGCTTAATTACTCAGTCTCAGAACAGAGGCTGAAAAAAAGCAATTCTTTCATTCTCATAAAATGACAAGAGCCAGCAAAGAGATTACCAGAGCAGCCCATTGCAGTGTGATAGCTGACAGGAAGGCACAATCACTCATTATCTGTTCCTAGAACTGCTGATTGAAAGGTCGTGGGTAGTTCAGGTGAGGTGAAGAATGGCAAGACCCGGAGAACCATCTGCATATAAAAGTGTTCACTGTGGAGCTAATACCATATATTTGTCTTTGAACAGAACAGCATGAACCCAATTGCCAGTTTGTCACTGAGCAACCTCAATGAACTCCTTGAAAGCGAGCCTGTGCCTTCCATTGCATCTGGACTATCTAGGCTGCAAAGTGTTTTTAAAAACATACATTTAATGTTTAGTGAAACTGTGGTAGCTATGATAAAATTGTGTTTTTGATAGCTAATGTGTTGCAATTAACTTATTAGATCTAATGTGCCACTTTTTCAGGAAAAGACAGAGAACTAGTCTGGGTGATCGATTTGGGTTTCCTTCTTACAAAAGTGGTTGAACGTACAACCCCCTGTCATGGGGTTTGACTTGATAATCAGCTGTGCTTTTTCCAGTTACATATTTCTGCCATTGTGCTCCTACAAATGTCAGAAAAGCTGATATGCCGCTGAGTGCTGTCAAATGCACAGTAAGCCAGTAGGTTTTTTTCCTCCAGTGCTCCCATTTTAGCAGCACTATTTGAAAGGTAAGACAGACAGACAGATCTACATTTTAAAATGCCAAACCAAAGTATCTGGAAACCTGAGTCCTCTATAAAAAGCACAGCTAGGGAACCATCACTGACAGGACAAACTGGTGTGCTAACTCAGATAACCCTGTCAGTTTGCCTCAATGCAGGGACGCCTCCCTGGGTGAGGAAAGAGTTACCCTGGCTCTGCACAATGCTCTCTGCTTGTATTGGCAACCAGGAACTGGGACACAAGTCCACGGCCATGAATGTGCTCCAGATTATCAATTGGGCACAAAGTTACCGTATCCAGTCTGTATTTACTGACTTGGGCAATGATCTGCCTGTGAAAGGCTCTGGATCTCACTACTGGCTTTTTGCTAAACATTATCACTTTAAACAATCTTTCAACATGTTTTCCAATTTGGGCAAAACAGGTATTTTACACAGTAAGAGCAAAATATTTTATAGCACCAACAGGGCAATGAGCTACTACATAGCAACAGAAATATGTGTGGGAAAGCCTTGAGGCAACTCCTTTTTTACAGGAATCAAGCAGTTCTTATTTAGTGTCTGCAGATAGTGGCATAGAGCAGCCCCAGCTGCTGCACGTGATCCCTGATAACACAGCAGCCCAGCTAAGCTGTGTGTGGGGGAAGATCCATGGACAAAGATTCAAGTAGCACAGGCAAACAAACTCCAGGGTTATTTACTCATTTTTATAATGGTAAATAGAAGAGATTTGGTAATTGCCAGCCATGTGTCCAGTCCTCCCTTATACCCTTATGGCTATGCTTGGCCTGGCTTACTGCAGGTGGGGGGCTGGGGCTGAAAGTCTTTGCAGCTCCTCCAAAAGAAAAATACATTTGCTACTAGTAAGGCTACTAGCTAGGCTTCCAAAACACAGATGCTGTTTTCTATCACTTTCTGTAGACAAACAACGAGAAAATATCATCTGCCTTTGATAGGGAGCCAGCAGCCACCAAAAGATAAGAGAAGGGAAATGAGAGGAAGAGCAATGTGAGCAGCAGAGATGCAAGCTGAGAAGTGGAGGACCAGGGAAGGTTGTCCTGAGTATGTGGCTCCAGGGAACGGAGCGGGACCTTCCAAAGCCTTGTCTGCATTGCCAGTTACTGCTTCAGGCTTCGTCTGGGTGACACTTAATGTCATGTACTGTCACGAAAGGCAGGAACTTCAGTCACCAAGGGGCAGAACTAAGAAACTGAAGTATTACTGTCTTATGAATACTCTCATTATTTGTGCAGAGGCAGACACTGATCCATGTGCTATGCATCTGTCAGCAGAAGCCTCTAGCCTTTCCTGTTTGCTCCCTCTGCTTATATGTAGCTTGAATCCAAGGTGGAAGTGTCCTTGTCATCATCTGGTATGCTCACACCCTATCTTCTAATAACTCCTCACACATAAGCAGTAGAGCTTTTAATTTCTTTTGCTCACAAATCAAGAACAGAAAAATCCTTTACTGTTTGTTCATCACTGTAAGCCCCCTTTGATTCACGTAGAACACAGGACTTCCTGCTGTTCATACAGATGTATGTGGTCTCATCTGCTGGTAAAAGCTGTGAACTCAGAAAAATCTCAATTCACAGACTCCCTATCATATCTTGTAGGTTGACGGCAAGTCATCTACTACCCTTGGGAAAGAGCAGCTGGGCAGCAAAAAGTGGAATTGTTGATCCACAGAAGACTCAGGGAGAAAGCAACCAGGACATGGTCTTTGAAGAGCAGTAACTCAGCGATGAACCTTCTCTAGTAGGATTACTCAGCCTGCAGAAGGTTGGCTGTCCACAGCCTCTGCATGGGCTTTTTGCCATGGGGCCTCTGGAAGGCAGGACACCAGCAGTGCCACAGTATTGCTATGGCTATTGCTGCGGGGGCTGCCTTCCAGTGGTTTTTGTCCCTTTCCTCTGGAAAAAGGCAGTAGATAAAATGCGGGACCTGTCCCAAGGCCTGTCATCCTCAGATAGCACACAGATCACCAGGTGTGGGTGTGAAAAGCTATCGGTGCCATTCACACTAAAAGTTCAAAAGTGCTTTTTCACTGACGACAAAGGCAGTTAAGATTCCAGGATGATGGATTTCTGGCCCTGGGTACATTACCTTACACCTCAGAGTCTCAGCTCCT